AGTTTGGTGTCGAGCTTTCCCCATAGTGTCCTCAAGAAGTGGCTCGGAATTTGACGTCTCTGTCGGAAGTGATGGTCTTGGAAATCCCATACAACCTTACAATCTTCCAAAAGTAAAGATTAGCGATGTGAGCGACAACTAGTGTCAGGTGATGAAGTACAAAATGGGCTATCTTGGAGAATTTGTTCACTACAACCATTATGGACTCCCTGTTCGTTTGAGTCCTTAGAAGTCCTAGCACGAAATCCATGCTGACATCAACCCACGGTGCCTCTGGTACTAGAAGTGGTGTGTATAATCCGGCGTTTTGAGCTCTTGCCTTGACCATGTGACAAATCCTGCATTGCTTGACATGCGTTCTACATCTCTTGTTAGTTTTGGCCAAAAAAATGTTTCAATACGAATGTGAGGATTTTGTATCTGTTGAAATGTTCTGCAGGTCATCTGTTATAGCCTTCTTGGACAATGGCCTCTCTTAGTGAACACGGGGGAATGCACAAATGACTTTAGTGGAATAGGTATCAATTTTTGTGGTAATATTGCCCTGCTAGCTTCTCCTAATATTGCTCTCATATGTTTTTGAAATCTTTGTCTGTTTCATATAGATTTTTTATGAACTCGCCCACTTAAGTGTCGATGACTTGGTGCATCTGCTATTCAATTCTGGTTTTCCGTCTTATGTTTTAGTACAAACTGAAATGAGGCTAGAAATTCCACGTAAGTGGCATGTCGTTCATTTAGTTTGTTTTGACTATTGAAGAATTTTAGGGTCTCATGATCTGTAAATATTGTAAACTCGTTTGATAACAAGTAATGACTCCAGTGTTTCAGAGCTCTTATGATGACGTAAACTTCTTTGTCGTAAGTTGAGTATCTCCTCCTGGATTCGTTCAACTTCTCACTGACAAAAGCGATGGGGTTTTCCATTTTTCAAATTAGAAAATACTTCTCACTGACAAAAGCGATGGGGTTTTCCATTTCTCAAATTAGAAAACGACAAACTTTCCAATGTGAGGTCAGAATACCTGGTTCATTAATCTCATGAAAGTGCTTGAAGCGTTTTGAGGTCGGAATACCTGGTTCATTAATCTCATGAAAATGCTCGAAGCGTTCGACAAACCGAAAGACATAACGATCATTTAGGGCGTTCTTCCTCTCGCCCCCTAGCCACATCTGTATCTAGTGATATCTGCTGAATAAGTCTATTTTGGAGAAGATAGTGACTCCATGTATTTGGTTTAAGAGATTATTCAAGTGGGGTAAGGGAAATTGGTACTTGATGGTAATCTTATTGATGGCTCGGCTGTCGATGCACATTCACTATAATCCATCCTTTTTAGCACCATCAGGGTCGGGACTGCACATGAGCTAGTGCTTTCTCTGATTAGCACCCTTGCAATGAGGTCCTGCACTTGTCGTTGTAGTTCTTCGTACTCCACAAGTCTTAATCTGTAGGCTGGTCGGTTTGGCAATACGATCCTGGTATTAGGTTAATGGTGTGTTGAATATCCCTTAGTGGCAGTAGTCCCTTTGGTAAGTTGTCAGCCATAGCATCCTGAAAGCCCTTTCGCAATGGTTGCAATAGTGTTGGTACTTCTCTTTCTTCCTTGCTTCCTTCCAGAAGGACTAATGCTAGTGTTACAGGGGCATCTCTAATCGACTGCGGGAAAGGTTACGAGGAACTAATGTTGCCTCTGTAATGCTCCTGCCTTTGGCATCCTTAGCAGGTAGTAAAACTATACGTTTCACATCCTTGTTGAAAGAATAAGTATTTTTGAACCTGTCGTGTTGCGTCTTGCGATCAAATTGCCAAGGCCTCCTACCTAACAGAATGTGGCAAGCATCCATAGGAACCAAGTTGCACCATATCTATTTGTGTTGCTGGTCTCCGATGAAGAATTCAGCTAGGCATTGTTGATCCACACGTGTCTCATTGCCCTTCTTCAGTCAAGCAAAAGAATCTGACTGGGGATGCTTTTTTGTCCAATCCTAACTTTTTTTATTGTCGCAGCTCCCATTGTCGATGATTAGACTGCAGAACTTCCCCTTGGCGGTACACTTGGTGAGAAAAATGTTATGCCTTAGCCAAGATCGGTCCTGCTCGGGCTCGAACTGTAGTATTTTCAGCATGACTAATGCTTTTCCTTCATCTTTATGGAGCTGAAGCTCTTCTTCTGGACTCTCCTTTGATTCCTCATCAACATCCTCGATGGTGCCTTGATTCTTGAGTGTGACGACTCGGCTTGTTGGGCAGCTAGAGGATACGTGATCATAGTCATGGCACCGGAAACACTTTATGGTTGACACTGCATTGGAGAAACTACCTTTATCTGGCTTCTTCCCGCCCTGATTTGCCCTACAGTCCCTTCTCCAACACTGTTATTTCCTCCCGAAGTACCATGGTCGGCTATAGCAGTTATAAGTGATTGCTTAGTTGAAGGTGGTGGTCTGAACGACGACTGTTGTCTGCTTTGCTTTTGTTGTCTCTCCACTGGTAGTGGTCTGAACGACTAGTGCCTGAACATCCCCAACATCCAGTATGACTGTAGTTGTACCACATTGCTAATGACGGGTTTTAGGCCTTCGAGATATCTGACGATCGTGTGCTCGCACTTTAGCTGCAGGTGGTCGAAATGGGTTGTCAACTCCTCAACTGATAAATCTCCTTGCTGCAAGTTGTGGAGTTTTAAGAACATGTCTTGGCTATACTGTGGTGGGATGTATTTTTTCTTCATTGTCTTGTTCATTGTCTCCCACTTAGTTAACTTTTCATGTCCTTCCCTCCTTTGTAGATTCTCCTACCATAAGAAGACATTCTTCTTTAGTTTAATTGCAGCTAGCTTGACTCACTTGTACTCTGGTACGTCTTTATATTCGAAGATTCATTTAATTGTTTGCATCCATTCGATAAACTCATCGGGGTCCATGCTTCCCTCAAACTCTGAGAGGTCAATCATCTCTCGGCCTCCTTTGTTATTGGATACCAAAAAGACGCGGTCAGTATTATTCGTCGCTGTGATCTTCCCTGTTGATTGACGTTAAGATTCTCGTCTCTATCTGCCCTATGACTCTCTCGATCACAGTTGAAGGTAATTTCTTCCTGGTTCCTATCTTCTAACTCGGCTAGTCTTTGTTGCAGACGATGAATTTCATATTGGATCTCTTTCTAAGTAGAACCTGATGTATCTCTCTATGGTGGCATGGCTCGAGTTGGGATTTGGAAGAAAAAAGGTTGATGGGTGAATTGGATAGGGGCGAGTGTTGGGTAACCCTAGGATAAGACTATGGTTGAGTTGACTCTGAGATAAAATGATACCAGAACTAGTTGGCATGTGGTGTAATACAAAAAAAGGTACACAAAGGAGATTAGAAGACAACTCTGGTCGAATTTCCTCCCACACACATAGGGGAAAACTATTTATAGTCTCCTACTTCTACACAAAAGGAAAGCAGTGGAAAAGGCAAGAAGATTCCAGAACATTTAAAAGAAGACAGTAGAGACTGCCGAAATACTGAATTGCAAAAGTTCGCGGTCTTCTCCTTCTTCGCTCGTGATCGTGAACTCTCATGAAGAATCACGGTTCTGGACTGCAAGATCGCGGCTCGCGATCCTTCGCGAGGGATCGCAATCTCCCGCGGCTGCTGCGGGTTTCCGACCAGCGGGATCACCCCTGCTTCGGGGCATTTATTGCCCCCACGTCAATATAGATCTCAATGCTAATTCTTTGTTTTTGATTCACATTACAATCTCTTTGACAACTGATCACGCCCCTCTAATAACACTGGCTATCTTTTGATCAAAATAACTTCAACTATTTTATTTTTTATACTACAATTTCCAAACTCAACTTGATAACTTCCATGAATCTTGAGTTTGGAGAGGAAAAGTTATCATCCCTAAATTATTACATGTGTTAATTATTTTTTTAGTTGGTATATAGATACAAAAACGATAATGGAGTAAGTTGTCTTGTATAATTCTCTCTCGCTTCTAATAATAACATATAACAAACATTCTTTTTCATATACATTATGCAAATCAATATGTCGCAAATAAATAACACATCAGGGTAAACAACTCAAGTTAAAAAATTACTATCGTGTCTTTGAATAAAACCAGAAACATCACATTAGCATCCCATGGTAAAATCCATTGAAGTGAATTAAACTGTGATTTCAAAGAAAGAACGGGCGCATATATATTTGGGAGATTTTAACAGCTATTTCTTAAACATTTCCAAGAGCAAGGAATGAAAATGGACGATTGCAAGCTATACAACAAATACTTTGAATGATAATTGAAACAATTAGTCCTATTAAAAAAATGTTTGGTTGGATGTTTTAAAAAATGCATGCATTTCAAAACCACAAAGTGATTGGAATGTTTGCACATTAGAAATATAGTTGTTTGATTGGATAAAAATCAAATATACTGAAATATTTTTTTATGGTGGTTAGAATAAATATTGAAGTACTCTCTCCCATCTCAATTATAGATAGACTAGTGGGAGGGAGACGATGAGTTAGGCAACAGAAAGTAACATTGTGAAGGCACAACCATGCAAAATAAGCAGGCAATAGAGAAGGAAAGGAAGGGTGATTGGTGACAACAACATGGTGGCGACCAACTAGCGCCAAGTGGCATAGGGGTGAAGAGGTGCAAGAGTTAAGGGAGCAAAGGGGGTGGGTGAAAGCAAGGAGAAGATGAGGGAAGGCACATAGGCATGAGCGGGTAAATGTATGGACAAGGTGATGCGAGTAGGCCTCATAGTACGAGAACTGAGAATCAACTCATGTAGGAAAATTTTCAAATGCATGGAAAATAGAAGCTTTGGGGTATTTAACATCACTCAAAATTGAATTTGAATTTATTTTGCTTCCCTCCAAAAAAAAATAATATTGAAATGCAGGTAAATAAAATGCAATGCGCTTTTAATGTTTCCAATCAAATAGCCCCCATATAGATACTAAATAATATTGAATAAAGATTTAGTAGATACCTGTTTGTCAAAAGCTCTTCTCTAGTGGCTAATGCTCCAAATAATAATACTGATACCAAATACAGAGAAGTTGTTGTGAGTGTAGCAGCCAATGTTCCAACAGGTATGGATCTCTGTGTATCTTTTAAAGATGCAGAACGATTTGAACCTGCCATGATTCCCGTCACTGCAGGAAAGAATAGACCAACTAATGCACTGGATCAAAAAGAAAAAATCATAATGTCAGAATGCAATTAGAAAGAGGCTTTCTATACTGAGCCTTTCATCTAGCCAACTAAATACCAGTCATTGTTGAATACAGTTCATAAAAATTAGTTTTGCTTCAACATTCTGAAATTAAAACTAGTACTGCGCCATATAGATTAATCAATTTACTGTAATTTTAGCAACATGAAACTTAGTTAACACCAAATTGTCATTTCATGCTATCAAAAACAAAGACCATAAGTATATAACAGGCTGAGTTAATGGAAATATAATCATTGGCAAACAGAGACAGTTGGAATAAACTCGATGTTCAAGTTCTCAAGATCTACTCTGATAGTTATCAGCAAGCAGAACACGCTGACGTGAACTAGTGACTAGAAAACGGTCCAAAAATCTTTCAGCTACTAGTAAAGGCAACAGAAAATCGTAGCACATGATGTTAGAAGAGCTTTATGTTCATAAGCTGTAGTCAGTGGCAGGGAAGTGGGACCTAAGTTCAACAAAAAAGGAGAAAAAGCAGGGAGTTAATGAAAAATATAACCAAATAAAGATGCCTCCATAGAGCAGCCACAGAGTTAGAAATCTTCAGGATATGTATGTATCCACCTCTAATACTAACTCTAATACTAACAAAAAAAAAAAAGCTTCTGTTCCCAATGTGACCATATAGCATCCTTCGATTAATCATCAATGACACAAATGGTGACAAGCCCTAACCATATTAATTAGAAAGCACATAAATTGGATAAAAGTTACAAAGTTGTAACGTAGATTCAAAGTGAACCACTGTAGATATGTAACTAAGAATCTGTTTGGCGCAGCGGCCTGGCTACTGTGCAGCACCACCCAACGTTATTTTCGCGTTTGGGGCGGCTTCTCAGCCGCGGCGTGTCGCGATTGCACGGTAACACGGAACGCGCCCTGAGACCCATGGCCCAGCTTCCTCGCTCGGATTTTTACCCCCGTGTCCTCCTTTTACGCTACACTAAACGTAAGAAATCATCCCGAGCGGATTGTTTCGCGTGAAAAAGAGAAGAATGGGGAAAGTCACATAGAGGAAGGCACGGCAGAGAGAATTGATTTTCATGGCACTGTGCAAGAGAAGCGCAGGCTAGTATAGAGTGGAAGATGAATGGCGCTATGGTACAGATTATTTTGGCAGATGAGGCAATGCTTCGGCTCTGTTGAGTGGATTTCAAACTGAAGAAGAAGCGAACCAGAAGAGGCAGAGGATTGCAGCACAAAGATCACATGCAAATTTTTGTAAAAGAAATGATACGTAGTGGGAGACGACATGGGCAATTGGATAGGTGGTGAAGACATGGAAGAAATTGCGGAAACAAAAAAAAAAAAAAAAGACAGTGAAGGAATAGTGCAAACCTGCGTGTAGTGAAGAGGGAAAGGCTTCCGTTGAGATGAGAATTGGATAGGGGAGACCCAGATGAGATTGCGATCTTTTTTGCTAGGGCAGAAGGAAAGTTACAAGAGACCTCTTCAAATAGAAAGGAGAACAGTTAATGGGATGCGAGCTAAAACTAGTGACTTAATATTAATTAAACTTAATTATATCTAATTAAATATAATTAATAATTTTAATTATTTTAACAATTTTTTAACGCCAACAACTGAGCTACACTATAAATCAATATAATAATATAATCATGAAGAAATAGCTCGACACCATGCCTTTTAATTTTCTTGCATTATGCACATCCCTTAGAGATTTTGGAATTGATTGTCTTGTTACTTCCACAGAGTCTTCTGTAAGGTCCATCGCAGCCCAGTCAATTTTCAGGGATGCATAAATACTAATTTCTACAAAACACCAAGCTATTCATCATCCATATTTATTTGTTGAGTGACAAATGAGGGTCTGACTATTCTTAGGCTTCACACACTAACCAGTTGTATACCATATTTATTTGTTGAGTGACAAATGAGGGTCTGAGTATTCTTAGGCTTCACACACTAACCAGCTGTATATCCTCCTCTACATAATTTGTCATCAGAATATTCAAAAAGCATACATCCTTCGAAAATTTCTATAACACAACAAACATAATACATAACACATTATTTTACCATTTAAAAAAAAAATTGCTTAAATAAATTTTGTGAATATGCGATGCATACTTCTCATGCCCCATTAATATCATTTTTTTTTATTGCTACCCTGAGATACCTGATCACTTCATTTTACTCTTGAATATAGCTCCATATACATCTTTGATACTAAATTTATTTCTTACATAGGTGTTCTTCAATTTCAAATTTCTTTTCTACTTTTTAGGAAGTATCTTTGTATACAATATCCTAAAAATCTTAAGCACTTCTCATATTTGCATCGATATACTCACACATATGATGTTGTATTTCACGAGAAATTCTTTATTTGGTTCTTAAAGTTGTTAAGAGAAAAATAATATCATCATTATCTTACTTGTAATTTTATAAGTATTTTCTTTCTCTTAGCATTTTTGGTACTCACTGTTAAGTGACTTGTGTATCTGAACTTTTGTTCTGTTTTGAAATGAATTTCTGCTTCTAAAGTATTAAATATGTCGTTTTCACAGTTTTAAACTGCTTTATTAAATAATGGCAGAATGGAAATTTTTCCAGAAACAACTGTCTCGCAGCTGTTTTCACACAGCCGCAACAAACAGACAACCAACTTCCCTTTTGAAATGAATTTCTGCTTCTAAAGTATTAAATAAGTCGTTTTCACAGTTTTAAACTGCTTTATTAAATAGTGGCAGAATGGAAATTTTTGCAGAAACAACTGTCTCGCAGCTGTTTTCACACAGCTGCAAGAAACAGACAACCAACTTCCATGCAGCAATTTCCCCACAGCAATTTTCCCGCAGCAGCTTCCTGGGACGGCACACCTGCAGCAAAAAAGCTGCAGCTGCGCCAAACAGACCCTTAACCAACATGTATTCATCGACTGCAGAAATCAATAAGCCTACATCAATCATAAAAACAATCAAGCCAATAAAATAATCTGATTTTAATGTAAAGGTTATAGTACATAACATGCCTCATTTAATAGCTACAAAAATGTTAAAGTAAAAAGCAAGCAATTAAATCTGACAAATTTAAAAATTCATAAAATTAAAGAAAAGTATAAACTAAATTTAAGTATCAAAATAGAATGTAAAAATACTAGCTGCATCATAATGTTATACATGCAAGTAAATGTAGAATTATACGGCCAATCAAAGTTCAAAAAATATTCATAAAGATAATCTTAAATGTGATTTCAACAAAATTCTGATTTGGATAAAGAAAACGGCAACAAAGGAAACTTTACCACTAATAATATCAAGAGTCTTTGAGTGGTATCAGAAAGCTTTAAAAATCACTTAAGCTTTAGGGAAGCAAAGAATAGTTATTGAATTATCAAACAGGCATATTTAATGATTTAGTAATTAGAACTAGTTTCGTAACTAACACTCTAGCTAACATCAATGCTCCCTCTCCCAAAAATAACTTATAGCTAAAACCCCAAACAAACCCAACAAGTTGATAGACTAAATATAACTTCTAACAAGAATGAATAACAAAAGGCTGAAAGGCTACATCAACCAAAATAGGACTTACCAAACAGCAAAAAAGATACTCTTGCAAACTTATAAACAAAGGCAGAAACTCACTTAAAGTTCCAATAAATAGAACCATCCGGATCAGGCACCCCAGAATTAGTCGTACGCTGGTAATCTGAACTCCAGTTGTCTCTAAATGTCTTTAATTTCAATCCAGTTATCCCACCTATTGAAGAAATTGCAACTATTATTGCAAACAATAACATGTGGTTTGATATAAGGCTTTCTTCCATATAAATGGAAATATGGAGATTACCTAACCAAACTATCAAAGGGAACATAAATAATTTTCCGTCTAAGAATAGTAACTTACTTGAAGCATTATGTCTGGGAGCTGCAAAAATCCCAATAAATATACAGAACAATGAAAATAGGACTGCAATAAGGAAAGCTGGGGCAACCTTGTTGATAATTTTCACGCCACCAAATACAATAAAACAAAGCAGAATGGTCACAACAACCCCATAGAGTTGCAGGTCATGCAGGCTTGGAGTTGATATAGTGGTTGTAGTTACATTTGTTACTGTGCCATTTATTGATGTGCTATTGCTGACAACTATAACACTCTCTGCAACACGATAACCCAAAAGACCATGCTTTATCAAAGATACTTTAAACCATCTGGAATTAAAATCATCAGGAATTACCAGAAACAACTTAAGGCTACAAACATTGAATATAATAATAACATCCTTTGAAACTTTCTTTAAAACAAATAATGATATTAAAAATCAACAACAATTGACCATATTAGTATAGAATTCAGAAAAAGAAAACAATTAAACAAGATGAAAAAGCTTATAAATCGAAAGTATGACTAAAATAATAGGGAAAAGATTAAACAAAATTAAAAGCTCTAAAATATGGTGCATTATATGCAACCAAAGCTCAATAGCTCTACACTTTTTTTTCATCTAAATATGATCATTACCATTTTATGATATAGTCTAACCGTTCAGAATACCACTTTCTAACAATAATGCAAATTCCTCTATGATGTCAAATAATTTCCCACCATCATTCTAAAAGCATATCCCTACAATTTCACACACAACGAATCAAAATTTCCTTGTATCCTTCATTTACCGATCTACAAAAAATTAAAGGCCATATAATGACCACAAAACAACAAACCAGACCAGTCGTCTTACATCATTCATATCCTTAAAGTATACTAGATTTAATTTAACCATATTCTCTATTATATTTCGACCAGAGTTCAACTAGATTCAGGGGAGCCTTCATATGAGCACGAATGTTAATCACCTTTATTGCTCACACAAGAGTAAACGGACATTGAGGAAGTTTTTTAGCCCAATTTTAGGGTCAAATTAAATATTTAGAAGTGCATTTAATTATGTGAGGAATGATTGGGTTAGGTAGACCTGATGAAAATCCCATGATTCTATCACCCCAAGCATATCAATAGATTTAGTCTACTATTGCCACCAGGGGTCTTTGGGTCAAAACATCAAGCAAGCACATTTACAACCATAGGTGGCTTCATCTGAAGTTATCCTACACAGATGTGATACCGGAGTTAGCCCAAATCACAATAAAAATACGAATATTATTGCTGAAATCCTACGAGTTACAAATAATGACTGTTGACAATAGAAAATTAACAACACCAATACAAAACAGACCCGGGCTAGAATAACAGTGATGGGCTTCGGGACGATGGAGTAGAGTTGGGTAGCTGAGGCGTAGGCTGTGAGGAGGCTGCAGAAGAAAAGGCTGATGGGAAGAGGGTTGGGATGCTGTTGAAAGCTACAGCAAGGAGAAAGGGAGGGTGACGAGAAAAAGGATGTGGATGCTGTTGAAAGCTACAGCAAGGAGAAAGGGAGGGATGAGTGTTGGACAGGTGTGGAGGTTGTGGCAGGGAGGGTGACGAGAAAAAGGATGTGGTTATAGCAGAAATATAGCAGGTTGAGGGGGAGGGGTAGATGGGGTAGTTATGTAAAAAGATGTGGGTGGGGGGGTGTGGGAAGATAGATGGAGTGCAGGTAGTAGGATAGGATGGTAACGGGCAGGTGTGGCTGTAGGTCAGGAGGCAGGGGGGTAGATGGAGGGGGAGGAAGGGTACGGCCAGCAGAGGATGAACTGCCAGTGGTTTTGTGGCTGCAGGTTGGGATGCATGAGGGTTCATGGTAGTGGATGGAGTGGAAGGAGTGGTACGGCCAGCAGGGGATGGATTTCTGGTGGTGGGATGAATAGGAGTTTAGTGGCTGGAAAAATGGGATAGTTGACAGCAGAAGGAATGTTGGGGAAGATAAGTATCATTGCAGGATTGAGTTACAGCCAGAGCACACCTCAAACCTTTGGAGAAGATTACCACCTCATGCAAGTTATAGCCGGAGCACCTCCTCGCCTTGGGATACAGCCCTAGAAGGAAAACTCATGCAAGTTATAGCCGGAGCACCTCCTCGCCTTAAAAAACAGCCCTGGCAGCTGGCTTTCACAGAAATCTAAAATCTAAAAGATAAAACTGAACCCTAAGGCAGCAAACAACACATTTATAAAAAGTACTAGTAGTTAGAATAGGAAGAGATTAGAATATGAAGGAATTAGAATTAGGAAGGGAATAGAAAACAACAAGGAATAGAAGAGGAAGGAGTTCCCTCTATGGAAGAGAGTAGAATAGGAGATTGGGAGAGGAAAGGGGCGGCCATTCTAGCCCCCATGAAGGCCGGCCAGTTGAGCCAGCCACCCAGCAAGCCCAGCGTCAAGACGGGTGAAAATGTGGGTTTGTCAAAGATATGCTTTCAATATTGGCATCAACCTGGTTACTATTCACACTACTTTTCATTGAAAAGTTCAAAGGGGCAAAAATGGTCGATTGTGGTTAAAAGGTGTGGAATATGATAGGCAAATGTTTAAAGATATGCAACAACCAGCAGTTATTTTGAGTATTGGCTTAACTCAAAAAAGTGTGTCCAAGACACGAGGTATTTAGCTTATGCAGTTTTAATTGTAAGATTTGCTTTTAGTTGGTAACCTTGTTAGCATGGGAAATGGCATGAGTTATACTAAATTGAACCTTATATTCATAAATTAAAAAAAAAAAACTTTTTGGTTTAATGGGTTTGTCAACTTCGAGCCAACTCAAACTAATAGAATTAGGGGGACTAACTTTGGAAAGGCAATAGCAAATTTGTAGACAAAATCGAATGGAAGACCCAACTTACCTAAGATGAGGCTTACATTTATTGAAAGACCCATAATCAAAAAGCTTCATGAAGATAAAATACAAAGATCCTTCTTAGAGTTTATAATTAAAAAAAGAGTAAATTAACTAGATAATGAGTAGACTACATCAAGAACATTTATCAAATGTACAACAAGACAAACAAAAGATACAAATATTTGATTTGGATCATCTAACACGAAACCAAGTAAAATAAACAGAAAGTGTCGATAGAATTTCTACCGAATTTTGCTCATTATGGTATAAATAATATATAATCTTTTATCCATTCGAGAATCAACACTTTCAAAATTAGAATCAGAAACATGTTGTGCCAAATTTATCATTTTGTTCGCCAATGGAAATGGATTGGGCTGTTTCAAAAGCTTACAAGGAAATTGTCAATAATAATTTCAGGGGACGATGAACTGATCGACACTAAGTGATTAGGACAACCAAAAACATCAACCACTCACTTAAAAAGAAATTCAACTAGCATCCAAATTTTAAGCACAGATCTGAAGAAAAGAAGAGTGATCTTCCACCGGTGGGGGGGGAATTAAATGTAAGGTATTAAAACTTAAATAGAGAATTTCCCAGCTTGAGATGTGACCTGAAACACTCTAAGAATTCCAAAAGTATAATAAGAATAGTATAATGAAGGTATGTTTTTAAATTTCACATTCTGCCAATATCCGAACAACAAATGCCCAATACACAACACCTTATGTAAAAAAGCATCAATCCCAAATTCGACCAAGACTATAGCCACATAGGACTTGGTAAAATAAATATTTGCAACATTCACTTCTAAAGGATTTCTAAATATTAAAGTCAAATAGAATAGTGCAGACTGGTTAAATTAGCGCACAGTGCAAACAAAGTCATGGAAAACACATCTAAACTAGAATGAGAAGAGACTCCACAAAGTAGTCAAATGGGATGTAATCTGCATTAGTCACTTTGTTTGGTTGAAATTTTGAGTAATCTTGTAAAATATCCAAATTAACTGACAGGAAGCACCATAGACCATTGTAACATGCGCACTAGCAGCCATTAATATAACAAGTCTACCCCTAACGAAAGATTTATGATAACAAGTTAAGGGTTCAATTAGGCAATTGTAGTAGTGACCTATGAACTCTGCATCCGACACAAATTTGTGAATTAACTCCATACTAAAATGACCCATTAAATTTGACCAATAATAATCAGTGAAAAACTTAGAGACCAAACAAGCAAAGAAATCTTCTCATCATAATAGAGAACAAGCTTTCCCTTAAAATGAGGGTTGTTATATTGAAGATTCCCTGAAGTATAATCAAAGGTAGTGGATAATCTTTGATTGGGGAGGAGAAAATTATTTTCCAAATTTACTTCAAAAAATTTAGCAAAAGAACATGATGGTTGAGGTGAAGGATGCACAATCAATAATGAGGAAGTAAAAAGATAAGCAAAGGAAGAACCGGGGCTCTACTGGGTTAGGATATTTTGACCTAACAAGGGTCAGCAAAGGTCCCAAGTGAATTCATCATTTCAGGAATTGAGATACGACAAAAGCCTGATGAACCAGAAAGTGAAAAGGATACCCTAACAGTGATCAATGGAAGTAATCATACAAGACGATGAATATAAGAATAAGAAAAAAAATCAAACAATAATTAAGGAGAAGAAAAAACGATGACGAGGCCGACTCTAAGAACCAAAGAGGCCGGACAAGATGAAGATGCCATGAGGAGGCATATGCACCAGTAGAGCCATATGAAGCCGCATAATGTATATGCACAAATGCACCAGAGTGGGCAAACAAGGACGCACGAGAGCACAAAAGCACGTGGACCCTAGCAATGTACGTATGAGCTGTTTCCAAGCGACGATTCACAAGGCCACACAAAGTCTTAGTTGTTGGAGAAATGTTGCGCAAAACAGAGACGAGCACACGCATCACACGGATAAAGCCACACAAAACCCTAGTTGCAAGCCCAACCAGAATTGCCAGGAGAGACGATATTGATATTCTCCCCCTCTTCTCAAGCAAGAAGAATTGAGCATGTGCTAACTTCAATTGGATGGACTAAAAGACTTTCTATAAACTTAATTAATTAAGTTTAAACCGGACTTATATTCGGCAAAATAATGTCATTTAACTCTTAACTTATTTTTTATATTTAAGATTAAATTAATTTAAAATTTTAGGCTTATTTTTCTATTTGCAAGTTACCTACAGGATGGGGCAAGTACTCATGGCTTTTGGGATGCTTGCATATAGGAATTGTAAATTAGACATTGAATTCAACTCAACGGTGCATCTTACTCTCATCATATTAAAAAGGTGGCATGATTAATTAAAGTTCACTTTGATTGTCATTAAACACATGTTT